CTCCCAGAATTCTGGGATTTGAAGTCCACACCTCTGAAAGCCGCCAAGGTTGAGAAACACTGCTGTAGGGGTTCAGGCATCGTCCCTCTCCCCCCCTCCTTCTTTCTCCTTCTCTCCAGACCCCCCTCCAGGGAAAAAAGCGGACGCCTCCTCTTAATTGGTTTAATTTATTCCTTCACATGCATGTAGAATGTTTGGCTGCGGGAGATAATGCTCCCCTTTTATTTTTGGCCACTGCTGGGGGAATCAATTGCGCCACGCTGCCAGCGTTTCCCAGGTAGCTGACAACAAAATAAATTGAAATCGATGGCAGAGGGTGTTTTTTTTTTTGTTTTTAAACAAAACGAAACGAAACACAAAGCCCGAAGCGCTGGGTTGGAATAATGCCTTCGTTGGCACGAGGCTTCCCGGGCGGGGTCTCTGCCCCCCGAGCGTTTCTTCGGGCCGTCTTGGGCGCCTACCCACCACGGAGGCTCCTACCCTCCAGTTAACCATTTCTCTCTCTCTCCTGTTCTCTTTCCCCGCCGCGGCCTTCTCCCCTCGCCTGCCTCCGTCAGGCCCACCCTGGATTCGGCTGGCAAGGAGGCGAAGGAAGGGGAGGAGAGGCCGGCCTCTGTCCTGAGCTCCCTGAGCTACCGGAAGCGCGCCAACCTCAAGGACTCCATTGGAGGGAAGGGGGACGAGGAGAGCCTCTTCTCCACCCTGAGCGAGCGCCCGGCCTCTCCGGACCGCTCCTTCCGCAAGGCCAGCCGCAACTCGGTGGCCGGTGGCTTGGATGAGGGCGGCTCCCTCGCGTCCTGGAAGAAGCCCCTCGGAGGAGGCATGGAGGAGCTCAACGAGAGGGGCTCGGTCCTCTCCCAGACCTTCTCGGAGGCCAGCAGACGCCTCCCCAAGGGACAGGAGAAGCGCTGGTCTGTCTCAGCTGCCGAATTGGATCGGGCATCAGTCCTCTCTGGCCCGGTCAGTCAGAGCGGGGCCTCCTGGGGTAGCCTGGACGCCCGGGAGGATGACACCCGGTCGTCTCTCAGCCTTGCGCTCTCGAGCCCTGGAAGCTTGCGGCGGAGTGCTTCTCGCTTGGATGACCTCAGCCCGTCCCACAGCCGCCCAGGCTCACGTGTCTCCTTGAGCCGCTCCCGGCTGGACGACGCGGCCAGCGTGGCCCTGAGCGACTCTCGCTCCCTCTGCAGCCAACACTCCCTCTCCCGCAGCCTCTCCGTGCCACCTCGACCCCGGACGTCCACCTCAGAGGACCTGCAGGCAGATGAAGCTGACATCCGGCCGGTCGGCCATCGCAGTTACTTGGACCCGGATCTGGAGGCGGCTATCAGTGAGGTGTTAAACTACAAGCCCATCAAGTTCAGGTGCTCCAGCCGGGACCCTGACTCGGAGGAGGAGGACCGCAGGAGCGTCCACAGCGCCAAGAGCGTTGCCCTCCTGGAGACCGTCGAGCACCCGGCTAGCAGCCTACGCCGGTCAGCCTCGGCCTTGGATTTCTACAGGCCTCATCAGAAAACGAAGGGTAGGAGAAGCCGGAAGAGGAGCAATAGTTCCTCCAGTGACTCCTCCTCTTCTTCCTCCTCTTCCTCCTCTTCCGAGCGGCAGAGGAAGAGCTCCAAAAGGCATGCCAAGAAGTCCAAGAAGAAGTCCAAGAAGAAGAAGCAGCAGCGGTCCCGCTCCGGGTCTTCTTCAGAGTCATCTTCCAGCTCCACCGTCTCCTATCGTAGCAACTCCAGCATCAAGAAGGGCCCGAAGTGGTCTGACGGGGAGGGTGGCAGCGTCCCCAGAGAGGGGGGCCACGAGGCTAGGAAGTCCAGCAAGCAGCTGAAGAAGGAGGAGAAGCAGCACAAAAAGCAAGTGGACAGCCTGATGATGAAGTATCTGTACCGGCCAGAGAGCGACTAAGGCAGGTGGCCGCATGGAGTGTGCCGAGTGTCAGCACGGTGTTCCTGACTAATCTCTAACCCGGGCAGAGGGGGGCTGGGAAGGGTGGGCGGGGGGCTTCCGGCTGGGTGGACAGCTGTTCCAATAGCCAGACCGGAAGGATGCCCAAGCGGTTTTCTGCATGGTGGCCAAATACGGAAGCTTGGGATTCTTGTATTTTGTGGACTGACCTCAAGCATGGATGCGTGTCTCCAGGAACTAACCCTGTCCTTGTGGGTTGTTGATTAGCCCTCCCATGCCAGTCTCTGTGCTGTTTGAGCTAGGATGGTCGCAACCGTTTCGTGCAGCAGAGAAGGTCCCCGTTGATCAAGGTCCTCTTTTTTTGTGGTGGAGGTGAGCTGCTGATGCTTAAGAAGGGTCTTGCTCAGCTTGTGGCAACGGTCCCCTTGCAGCCTACAAGGAAGGGCGACAGCTTCCAAAACTTGTGGTGGGAGCAGAAGATGCCCTGGCGCTCACTTCCTTTCCCCCTGCTGGCATCTTCCTGAGAAGAGCCTGGCTGTCTCTGGCCATGGTCCTCTGCGGTCTGAGGATTAGGTCCAGAAGAAAACAGGGTCCCGAGGAGCTGCTGTCCACTCGGAAGCCTTCAAGAATTGGCTGCCTTTATTCCTTAGACAGTTGACGGGCCTACACCACTCCTCTCCCCACAGCGCACTCCCACTTGTATCTGAGAGACGAGGGGCTGTGAGTCAGAAAAGTTTTCAGTTTTTTTTAAAAAGGGGGTGGGGTGGGGAGGTGCTTCGTTTCAACATGCTGCTCTTGGCTTCTCTGCTGTTCTTTGGATGTGAGTCATCGCTTCTGGAAAGCCCTCCGTGGCCCAGGAAGAAAGTGGCTGGTTGGCTGGGCTGGCAAAGACCGCTAAGCAGATACTCGCATTGCCTCCCCGTATCTAGGTTGAAATACAACCGGAGAGGCTGTTCCGGAGGGGAGTGGCCCAGTCTTGTCCGAGCAGGCTTCCAGGTCAAGGGAGAAGGCTCAGGTCATGAGAGCTCCGCTCAAGCCTTCCAGGTCAAGGGAGAAGCCTCAAAAAGAAGGCCAGGCTTGCCTGGTCTGCGAGCTGCCAAACCAGATGCTGTCTGGATCATGAGCTGCCCGTGGTCAAGGACTTCCTCACGTGGCACGAAGAAGACAGCCTCTTGAAGGCTTTCGCTCTGCAGGAGTGGCCTTGAGACACCCGCCAGGGAGAGGAGCCGCTCTTCTCCTCAGGAGGCCGGACTCTTCTCTTTTCACCACCTGCCACTTCTCCATCCACCCCCGTTTTTTACCTGTGCCAGGCAAACGCCAGCGGGCCTCCGTGAGGCTGGAGGGAGGGAAGAGAAGCCTCAAAGCCTTGCCAGAACCAAGCACTCCATGTTTGGCAGCTGTTCCCTCCTGCAGTGGGAGCCTTTGTTTGCCCACCTCAGAGATGTGACAAGGGAGAGGGGAGGGATGGGGGGCTCTGCAGCAAGTGTTAGAAGAGGGGAAGCTGCAGCGGCGAAGGCAAGTCCGTGTGTGTGTGCATGCGTGTGTTGGTGTGATCCCCCTCCGCACGCCCACCAAAATTATTTGTGTACTAAATTGTTTCCGACAGCTTTGAATGGAAGAACTATCTGGAAAGGCAAGAATGTGTGTGTGCGCCGTGTGTGCCCGTGCGGGTTCTTTTCCCCCCTTTTGAAAGCAATTTCTTTTTTAAAATGTTCAATTGCCGGTGCAGCCTCCTGCAGCTGGGAGAATGTTGTGCTTCAGATTTCTTAATGCACTTAACGCTCCAGCTGACATAACAGAAACGGAGCTGGGAGGAGTGGAATTGGGTTTGGACAAGTGGAGAGCGGGAGGAAGGAGGAAGAGAGGGGGGCTTTCTCGAAGCCAGGGCATGCTGGGCTGCAGAAATACAGAGCGAGAAGGGAAAGGTTGTGGCGTGTGCGTACCCCACTCTGCCCACCTCTCTCCTGTGCAAGCCCCCCTCCATTACGGCCCCTTCAGCAAGCTGCCCACGGTCCTGCCGGTTAAGTGTCGAAGAACATCAGAAGAAGCATGTTGGGTTAGCCCCCCGGCCCCGCTTAGCCTGGCATTCCGTTCCTGGAGTAGCCAACCGGACACCATCTGTGAGAGGCCCCGCGTGGGACAGGGGTGCTCCCTGGCAACTAGACTCACTCCAGACTGCCTCTGCCGTCACAGAGACCGAGTATCCCCCAGCAGCTCATCTCCTGCCAAGCTGGCCGCCCTCACAACATCTTTGTGGCGTAGCCACTCCGCAGATCGGTTCTGCACTCCGTAAAACCCTCCTTTCATCCTAAGCGTCTCGCCATCCAGCTTCTCTGAAGACGTTTCTCCTGGGTGCAAGAAAAAATGTGCAAGAGAACATGGCACACGCATCTCCTTTCTTCGGCTGCACCTTTTTGTGTACAGGGGTTTCACAAACGTCCTTCACGGAGCACACATTGTGGGAAGAGCATACTTTTAACCCAGTGGTCATTGTAGGAAACAAGGCGTTGAAAGCCGATTCTCGCAATGGACCTGGGGTGTTTGTTTGCTGGAGCTGGGCTGGAAAGCTTAGACACCATGGTCAAAACCCTACCTGCTGCCAACAGGGATGTGTATTTATTCCAGGCTGGGCTGGGCTGGGCTGGGCTGGGCTGGGCTGGGCTGGGCTGGGCTGGGCTGGGCTGGGCTGGGCTGGGCTGGGCTGGGCTGGGCTGGGCTGGGGACTCCATGGTGCCCACCACTTGCAGGGACCAGTTCTTCAGCTGGCTGTGAGTGAGGGATCTTCTGCAGGCTTGTTCCCCGCTTAGATGTTTTGGCAATACCCTGGCAGGGAATGTCTTGGTGGCCGCCGCCTCTTGCCTGATGTGTCTCTGGCACCAGGAGGGGCCTTTTTAGTTGCTTCATTGGCATCTTCTGCAGCCACTTTGAATAAGTTGAGTAACCGGTTTTAATTGCTTCCCGTGGCTTGGCTTGGCTTGGCTTGGCTTGTTGAATGAGGACACTCTTATGTTTTTTTGTTCTTTTATTGTCGGACGTGATCGTATTTGTTTCGTTCTTAACTGCTCTG